ATCGGGGCTCCACACTCAGTTGGACTATCCAAGAACTGAGGTTCCTGCAACAAGAAGCATCGTTAGAGCTGCCCGACCGGGGTTGGCCGAATAACCCCTCCGGTGTGGGAATTAGTGATCGGAGAAGAAGTGTATAGAGAGTTGAATCTCTCTCTATGCGTAATTTTGCTTAGAATAGTTCAGTTTAGTCTTCTTCGTTACCTTCAATGTGAAGTTCATGTTGTATATATAGTGTTCCTTGCTTGCTTCTCAAGGTGGGTTCATGGAGCTTGGATGCTGCCAGGTGTCCTTTTAGCATTGCTCAAGAGGGGGGACCACCTGGTAGTTGTCATTGAATGCATATACTCATTGTAGTCATGCTGATAACAAACCACATTCCTTTGGTTCAACAACTTCCGTGATTCTAGGTGTAGAGGACCAGCTGAGGTGGCAACCTGCACATGCACACGTTCACAGTTTCCACGTTTCCTTGAGAGGTTTCCTCAGTTCGGTACTGATATACCTCAGCTCGGCATCAGTATGCCCTGTCTCGGCCTTTTACAGGATCACTCATGGAGATGGGCTTATCCATTCATGTAACTTTGCATGGGCTCGGCCTATTTTCTGATCGGCCCGTAGATTTAGTCTCGCAGCTTGGCCTAGCCCAGCATCACGGCTGGACTAGCCTTTCCACTGTGGGTTGGACCCAACTGCTTGAGGACTTGGGTGGACTGTTGATCATGAAGTTGGGCTTAATTGGTTTGCCCATATACTCATCCAGCCCACTTGGATTCGGGCTTCAGTGGATTGGGTCGGCCCAAGGTTTGGACCTAACCCATTTCATTTTTAGCCCCTTCATGGAGTGTAAATGCATAGAAAGTAACAAATATGTATAGGACGATTAGTTAAAATGTTGCCTTTTAAAACCAAACCTTGCTTACTCAAATCAAATTTGAGGGGAAGGTTTTTGGTACATATTTTTGTTCAAAGGGTCAATCAAATTTGTAGACCATGTGTTCCACGTTAAACTCATTCGGGCATTTGTTCTAATGATTTTCTAACACTTTTTAGTGCTGTGAGATTTCGAGTTTAACTCTTATGGAGAAGAGTTTGATATCTTGTGCTAGTATTTATTTCTCTCCCATGATGGAGGTTGTATGTAGGTGGTAGTTGAGTAGTTGTTAGGCTTGAACTTTGGTAGATTTTAATGACTTTCTAACTATAATGAACTAGTAGTTTGTTTGATAGTGTAATATTTTTCATATTTGTAATTACTCTCTTATTGATTTTTTTTTTAATTTTAAAAAACCTATACTTTTAAAATAAAATTTGTTTGTAGATAATTGATTTAATCATTGCTTCTTTACCCAATTCGTTTTGCTTATGGTTTTCATACTAAAGATTTAAAAAATTAAGCATTTTCATCTTTAAAAAGAATATTACAAAAATTATTAGGAGATCAATTTCTTATGTCACATGTGTCACTTCTAAAAGATCATTCCAAATAAATAAATAAATAAATAAAAATTTAGTGACAAAATTTTTAAAAAATCACTAATAAATTATTTTAAAAACAAAATAACTTGATATCAACAGGCCTTATTTTTTTTTTAGACGAAAATTTTGATTCTAAAATAATAACAATATCCTTGTGGTCTTCCAAATCGTTTGGTATTGCTAATGTTTATGTCTATGCTACAAAAAATCATGATAGATAAACCTAATTTCTCTTAGAATATAAATCACAAGAAGGTAAGTCATGTGTAACCACTTTCCTCGATGCTCTCTCAATCCAACTGAAAACGTGTCTTGTGTCACACACAAATTAGATTGAAATTTTAACTTGATAGGGTTAATTGTACTCAATATCTTGTACTTTCATAATTATCACACTTTAATCTTTTTATTTTTAATTATGACGATCAACTCTGTACAAGTCAAATTACAATGCTACCATTCTGTCCAGCTATTATTAATAATGTTGGAATGATCTTCTGTGTAGAATAAATAATTTGAAACCAAATCAAACAATATAAAATAAATAACTTACAGAATTTATTGAATGAAAATTTACAAGATCAAATCGAGTGTGTGACACTTTGTTCTTAAGATAGATTCGTCCCGCTATGCTGCTTACGGAGAAATGGCGTCTATCTCCCAGGATACAATGATCTTCACAAATTGTAATAGCACTCCAAACAATTTGTTCGGCGAACAAAAACCTTGTGTTCTGAACTCTCTTTAATTTTCCTAAAAATTAATATGAAGAGAATTTATGCAGAGGAACAAAACAGGACAGCAAAATGATATTTTTCAGAATGTTTTTCGGATGCCAAAAATTGCTGGAACAACCTTCAATTTATAGGCAAAACAAACAAACCTGAACAGATACATATAAGAAGTGAATAGGTGTAATTTTGAATTGAACAGATACTGTTTGAATTTTAACAAATCTGCTGGACAGTTTGATCTGTTCGAACTATAAAGATTCAAATCTATGTAACTATAACAGTTTCTGGCAATTTTAAAACTGTAAAACAATTTGAATCTGTTTAGGAATTTCGGACTGAAGGTGGTAAAATTTGGACAGAAAATTAATTTCAATTTTGGCACAAAATTGGAATTTAATTTCATTAAGAATTTCTGGAAAAAATTCAAATAAATTTTATCTAAAAAATTAATATTAGAACCAACCCACACTTGCGTCCGACACGGCTCGGCTTGGTCAGCCGGTCGGATAGACAGTGACGACGGCTCACGCGCGTGTGTGGTGGTTTGAGCCAAGGTTCCATTTGTCCATAATTCTTCCCATCTACAAACTTGGGGTGCCCCTTGGGGCCAAATCCAAGTGTTGCCACCTAGAACTCATATACACACATAAGTTCTTTTAAGTTTCCAATATGGGATAACCATTTCAAGGAAACCTACATTTTACTTCTTTAAATGTCCATTCCACGAACCTGAAAACGACGTCAAGTTCCTATTCACTCATAAATGGTTTTGACGAACGTCTTCAACGTGCGACTTCCCACGCGGCAAGGAACACGTCACTTTTGCGGACCCACCCCAAAAGACGTTTGGGGCTTGCTCAAAATTAGACTCAAAGTTGGCCCAAAATAAGCCTATAAAAAACCAATATTCCAACAATCCCCCACATGAATGGAATTTGACGGAGAGCAAATGCGACAACATGATCTAATTACAGAGAGTACAGAAATTGAAAATATTCTGCAAAGGATAGGTAGCTTATGGCTTTGAACCTTCCCTTGTGAGGCACTATCGGATTTACTAGCTAACTAGTGAACATGATGTCTTGAACTGTTCAGCCATTTGTGTAAATTAAGACAATAGAACTCACACAATATATCACCAGACACAGTTTAGTTCTCTGGCCCTGAACAACCTTGTCTTTCATGAATGCTCTAGAGAATTGTAGCCCTTCACAAATCTCATAGAACCGGCCCAGTTCACACTCACATAGGTGATTCTTATGAAGAGTATCCTGGCATACTCCACTAGGTTTACCTAGATATAAGAATTATTAAAAGTATTACTTAACCTAAAACGCTGCAGACATCACTATTTTGTCATAGAAATGGATAGGAGTTGGACTCCCCAGTGATCTTTCTGAGTCATATATAACTCGGTTGTCCCTTTGAACCTAGATCTTAGGGTCTCCAGTCAACTAGCACTACTAAAAAAAGTACTTTTTGCGACCACTACAAGCCGTCGCAAATAATAAAAAATAGTCGCAAAAGACCTTTTGCGACAGTCCATGCGACGGCAAATAGGGGTCTCGAATGTGGGGGTGGCAAATACTTTTTACGACCGCAAAATAACAGTCGCAAACTATTTGCGACCGCTTAATCAACTTATGGAGACTAATGTTTTGCTGTCGCAAATTTTTTTTAAAAATACCTATAATGTATTAGCGACCATCTTGTTACCGTCGCAAAAAAAAAAAAAAAAAAAAAAAAGAAAAAAGGGTAACATTAAGCACTCTAAGAGTAGTAATAACAAGAATTTAGACAGTATAGCATTGTAGTTTAATCAAGCATTCCATTTGAGTCTCAAAATTAGAGCCATATGTGAGTTATTACAACTAAAAACTTGGGAAAAATTCTTTTATGAAAAAAATACAATCCATTGGAAAACGGCTCTTTGTTGATGTTAGGGTGCGTCTTGAAGAGGACACCTGGATTGCCTCCAGTATCAACCTGAAAGTAAGGCAAGATGTTAAAGCATGCCATTAGATAAAGCATCAGAATTTAAATCTACAAACTCAACTCATGGAGAAAAAAGTATGCACTTCTAAAGATACCACAAAAATTAGCTTTAAAAGGTCATTAATCTTTTAACAGCAGAAATAAACTTAAGGCAACATTATAGTCTCTAAATATGGTGAAGAACTAAGCTCCTGTTTGAATTTCCAACTGAAATTGAATGGGGCCATTCCTTTCTCACAAAAGAATTTAACTTAAAACTCATCAACCTTGAACTGTTATTTCCATAAAGCCTATAAATGACCATATATGAAAAAAATTATAAAATAGAACTCTACTTGAGATTACTCTGTAACACAGTTGACATATAAAAATACAGCAAGATTTAGATAAAAATAAGAACGGAACAAGGTGGCGATGAAAGTGGAGAACCCCCATGCGAAAACCATCAGAAATTGCCATTATCTAAATCCTCATCAAGTGACCACATGTTGACAATTGCAGTTCCAAGTTCAAGCAAAGGGAACACAGTTCAGGAGGAAGAAGACATCACTACAAAAACTGAACAAGAAATGGCTGAAGAACAGTCCTCATTTTCCATTCCTGATGCTAAAGACGGGGGTCAAACAGAGGTAAATAATACAGGTAGTCCAAATGAAGTAGAGAAGCACACCAGGGAAGGCGATTTGATGGGAGGGTTTAAATCAGACCAGGCATTTAGACAGATACAAAAGATCTACATGTCTCACATCAACCAAATCAGCATAACTTTCACATATCAAGGCTACTCTTTAGACAGATACAAAAGGTGTTTGAATTTAACAGGACTGTTCACAATTTCATAACCATAACATCTAAGAGATCTCAATCCTAGAAAACTTCATGCAAGTCATTCAAAAATTTCCTCTAAGTGCACAGTATCATGTGAATAAAAGAAAATGACAGAAGAGAACCTGGCATGCCTCTGACAGAGTTGAGAATCCTTCTTCAAAACAAAGCTGAAAGTCAAAATTTTAACATAAAAGACATGTATTATAAGGTTCAGCTGAAAAGCATAGTAAAATGAATTTGGAACCTGTACTCGTCACTAACACCATATGAAAAGACTATATCCTGAAACTCTTCAAGCACTGCCACTGCACATGAATTCATAAGGTTTAAAGCTTGGCCATCGTTTGGTTTCTCAAATTCATGACCTTCAGAAAATCACTGACACACACTCATCTGCAACATTTTTCATTATGTAAGATGTTTCCAATGAAACTGAGGAAAGACAGATTTATAGATCCAGCATGCCTTCTTAGTTTTAGAATCAAACATCCTTTCCAACATCACCACATCATGTTAGGCCATGAAAATTAGATTGGGACTTTAAACAGTAATTCTATGGTCCCAGAACTTCTTTCCCAGAAATCTCCTAGAATCCAATTACCATGTGCAATATCAACTACAGCATAAAATTGGGTATGATCACTTGGTTGCAAGAAAAAGAAAACCAATAAATGAGCAGAATATATATATATATATATATGGGTAATACATGAGCAGAATTGTACAATCATGAACTAAAAATTATACACGCGAGGTCACATGTATCGGTAATAAGACTGGCCAATACTGACCATAGGGTAGGTATGATCTTTATCTTTAGGAAAAGTCATAAAACTGAACTGTTGAGTTCTAACAAATAGTTGATAACCTGAGGATTGGTCAACTTGGGCTGTCGTCGTTCAAGCCGCCTTAAATGATACTTGTAAGCTACAAAACCAAAAGCACCTTTTGTCGGCCAAAATCGAACAACCTTAAAACATAGAATTTGGAATCAATCAAACCGAAGTTAGAAGTCATGATAAAAAAGCAATTGGTGAAGTACATAGACATAATCAAATGACCATTCATGTTGAAATGAAATGTCAAGTCAACAAAGCCTTGTTCCAACTACTTGGGCTACATGAATCTTGTTTTTCTATTCCACTCAACCAAGGGCCTTGAATCATATACAATGTAACGTAATAAAAGTAGAATCTTCTTGCATAGTAGCTTAAGCATACCGTTAAATTGTCAATTTTTTTTGGGTACATTGTCCATGCATTTTAATGTTTTGAAACCAAAACCAGCTATGGCTTTGAGCTTCTTGTCAATGTTCTATCCATGTTATTGCTTTTCATATCTGATTACTCTTGGGTGAGGTACAAATTTATAGATTACTTAGTAACATCATGTTAGCCATCAACTTTTAACTACATTGACTGCATCAAGATATTTTTGTAAAAGAAGCCAGGATACATACCTAAGCTTCAAATATCATTATAGGCAAAATGCTTTTTGCAAGTGTAAAATGGATTATCAAAAAGCTCACGCAACTGAGGAGACACCACAGTGCTCAATCATGCCTAAGCTAAGAAGTTTTAAGGGACTACATGAAGACTTAGTAATGAAACCAGCCTACATTAGCTAGAAAAGTAAAAATTATGAGGAAGCCTTACCAAAAAGAACAATACAAGTCTAAGGATTTGAATGGTTATGCAATAAACATAAGAAACAAGGATATCAACTGTTATTCTAGAGAATTGCCTCAAAGGTTTGTTGAAAGAGTTCTGCCATAAAGACTGTGAGCATCATTACATAATGCTATAGAGATGAATAAGGGAAAAACCATCAGCGTAACAAGTGCCTTACTATCTTTTGTTCATAAGTGATTAAACCAAACCAAGCCTAATGTTCCAATCAAGTGGGGTACTACATCAATCCTTTTCACCATTCCTATCTGTCAAGGGATATATGATCAGTTCGATTAAGTAAATTCATATATTTTTTCACTACTACTATTATTGACATGAACTTGAGAAATACTCTAAACTAGAATGCTAGCTGCATTAGATAGACAGCGTTAGCATTACCAATACTTCCAACCAAGAATTCCAGAAGTTCCAAAACATGGGATGGACTCCATTTAAAGCAAGTTGGCCGGAGTGTCCTGGGTGAAAGACCCGAAATTTTATATACAAATGGGTGCCGATTCCTTCGGATGAAATATCCGTAAAATGGAAAGTTTGAAGTGTTCATGTAAGTTTTGCATAATTGAAAAATCATTGAGTTGTAGTCTCATTTTGAAAGATAATGAATTTAACTCATGAATTGAGTAGCATATATGAACTGGAAATGAATTGGTAGTACTTGTACAGTGTACTTCCAGACACCAGCCTATGGATTACCTAAGTCGTATTTACCACCTTGGAATTTTATTAAAATTGTTGGATTAATGTGTTTTCAAATTGGCATTGTGCATAAGATTTTCAAAAGATGAGAAAATATTTTAGGATGACATGGCATATGCATTCATCTCATAAGACTATATAAAATGTATTTAATGCTTTGTTAGATGTCATTGTGAATTGTTTAATTATTTGATTCAATTGACAAATGGGTAATTGAAAGAATTGAAAAGGATGTCATGTTGCATTTGAGGCATGCTTATTTATTTAAGTTAGCTAGTTGTGGTTAATTAAATAAATTGGATTTAAGAGTTTATGTAATAGAATCATATGGTTTTGACATGATATGATTTCACGTATATGTAAGAGTATCTTTGTACCCACATATCTTTTAATGTTTTAATATGAGATTGTTCGGTGAGCTTGCTCACCCCCTACCTGTACATGTGTACAGGGAATGCTTTTCGGATTTGAAGATCAAATAATGGGTGTTAGGTTTTATTTCTTGGCAATCCCGTTTGACAAAACTCCTTTGAGTTGTAATTTTATTCGCATTTTTATTTTAGTGAGGCTATGAGTTGTTAGATGCGAATCCAACCCGAATCAAGCCTTTCAGAGAAGTTTGTGATGCTAATGCTTTCAAGATTGCCACTTCGCTGATTATGACGGGGATCGAGCTACCCGGTCAGCTAGCGGGGGTCGAGGGGGCAGCGCCCTTTGGCAGGTGCGGGGCAGCGTCACGGCGGCGTCAAGGGGCAGCGCCCCCGAAGCAAAATGCAAAAATGCATTCCAAGTTGCCTGTCCGCTCGAGCGGACATACCCGCGCTCGAGCGGAGAAAGGTACGATACAGTGATGGTAGATGGTAATGTTAGGGGAAGGGGTAGACTTGGATTGACGTGAACTAGTGTAGTAAATATAGATGCATATTTTGCTGAAGACGCTCGAGCGGGATGTTGGGCGCTCGAGCGGATCGCGCGAACACAGTTTTCCGGATTTCAATAAGGATTGGGTTTTCTTCCAAATCTAGGATTACTTTTTGGTTTTCTATAAGTAGTTGGTTTTCTCCCAAAACTAGACTACTCCTGAAATCCTCCAGATCTTCTTTTTGGTTCTTAAGTTTTATATCTGGGGATATTTTGTTAGTTTTTCTTTGATGTTTTGATTGAGTATTCAACTCATGTTTTAAAGAGTATACATCAAAGCTTTTTGTTTGTTCTACAAAAGAGAGAGTTGTTCTTCGGTGGATTCTGAAGAATTTGAGCCTGAAGCTTTGGTGGATTCCGGGGTGGCTCGTCGTAAAGACAATTCCGAGGTGAAGACGGGTTGGAAGAGGCACATAGAGGTTGGTTCAATTAGGCGTGGATTCGCTTGGTAATTGAGAGTATACTTGTGTAATTCCTTTAAATCTTCTTAGTGGATTGTTTTGTGGCTGTTGCCTGTGATTTTTTTTTATCACAGTTGGAGGTGTCCAATTGTGGTTTTTTCCACGTAAAATCGTTGTGTCTCTTTGTCTTGATTGTTTGATTGGGATTGTAATATTCTGCTTAAAATTGATACATAATCACATAAGCATATAACATCACACTAAGTCTCTATCAAACGAGACGAACCCAATGTGATACTAATCACTTCCCACGTACCCAAAGTATTATTGTACTACTTTATTTGTTGTTTGACTGAGTGCTATTTTTTTTTTTTTTTGTAAAGAGTAGTATCCTCTCTTTTATTGTAAACCTTAGGGCATTTCTTTTATTTGTATGTAAATGTCATTGTTGTATAACGTGAGGGAATATGTATATTTAATTATTCATCATTTCATCCAAGGATGAAATATTATTTGTAAATGGACTTAATTAATAAATATTGGTAATGTTATCTGCGTGATAAAATACGGGGCATTACATTAAGTTCCCTTCTTATTGTAAAATAGTTCCTTGTATGAACCTATTTTTTTTTTTACTTCAATGTAACTTCCCAAACCCTCCCAAGCTAAGTCCTTGGAGGTAGTTTATCACCTGAACCTGAAAATGATGTTCCCTTAAAGGGTGAGCCACAGCCCAGTAGAAATATACTAAACCAAAAATAAGCAATGAATAAAGCAATAGCATTCAACAGATGGTTAACCAAAATAATCAATTACTTCATTTTACAGTCTCATGACACTATTGCCAAATGGAGTTTTCTTAAGTGTGCAAGTGCACACCATGTGCCACTTACACAAAAAGTGTAAGTGTAAGGTGTAAGTATAAGTATAAGGTGTAAGTGTAAGGTGTAAGTGTAAGAACCTGGCCAAACTTACAACAGTGAATCACATATATCATATTCACTTCCTTCCGATATCAACAAACAAGTGAGACTCAAGCTCAAATCAAACACTTCATACTTCCAGATTGATACACATTTTAGTGCTGTATCAATAAAACACTTCTATATAAATAAGCACACATAAAAGTGATGCTAAGTGTAAGGTGTAAGTGTAAAGTATAAGGTGTAAGGTGTAAGTTGCACACCATAACCAAACCCTTGCCAAATATACGTTTTACTTTCCAATTTTATCAATATGGCTCAGAACCTGGCCAAACTTACAACAGTGAATCACATATATCATATTCACTTCCTTCCGATATCAACAAACAAATGAGACTCAAGCTCAAATCAAACACTTCATACTTCCAGATTGATACACATTTTAGTGCTGTATTAATAAAAGACTTTTATATAAATAAGCACACATAAAAGTGATGCTAATGGAGTCCATCCCCTATCTCCTCCCAAACAAAATCCGGTTTAGAGGTCCATCCCCTATCTTCCCCTAAACCATGGAGTACATCCCCTATCTCCTCCCACACAAAAACAATGTATGCAAATGCAATGCTCAATCAACACACGTATTTTCTGTATCAATGCCACAGTAAAAATTAATGACTTAACCAATGTGATTAGTTCCAGTTATTCCTAATCCACATGCAATGTCTACAACAATCACGACTATCCTCCACCGATAGCCCAAAACAGTTATTTCTAAACTGAAAATAACTATGTCAACAATTCAATAGACAAATGATACCAATTACCCAATTACGCCATTTAATCAATGAATTCCCCAATTCCATGAATTTAACCCTCTTTTCCCAATTCCATGAATTACTTATACAAATTAATTCAATAATACACCTAGGGTTTTTCCCAAAATTTACCAAAGTATTCCCAACATATCAAAATACCAAAACTTAGGACAAAACCTATAAAATGGAGTAGGAAATCCCTACCTCGAAGACAACAACTCAAAAGGTGAAGACAGAGATGAGTGCCAAAATACCAATGTGCTCCAAATCGCCAAATGTTCAGATTAAATGAAAGCCCTCAACCCACTCTATCTTTTTAATAAAGGACTAAGGTTAGATACTCACCCTAGGTAGATCAATTCTTAGAGAGAAGACAAGTTTTAGAGAGAGAGAGAGAGAGAGAGAATCAAAAGAATATGAAAGAGACTGATCAAATCCCGCTGCTGTGTATATAAACTGGACAGGCTCGCTCGAGCGAAGACTTGGTCGCTCGAGCGACCAGACACAGAGACACTACGCTCGAGCCAAGGAAGCTTTGCTCGAGCCAACAAGCCAAAAGCTCGCTCGAGCGAAAGAAAGCTCGATCGAGCGGAGAACTCAAACCCTCAGGTCTGTAATCAGACACACGCTCGAGCGAAGGAACTATTGCTCGAGCGAAGAACAAACTAACTCGCTCGAGCGAAGAAAAGCTCGCTCGAGCCAAGAATGCAAAGCTACAGGTCCAAACCAGACACAAACTCTCGCTCGAGCTATCAAACCCCGGCTCGAGCGAAGAACCAAAAACAACATCTCGCTCGAGCGACAAACTCCTCGCTCGAGCGAAGAACCAAAATACTGGACAGCAACACTTGATTTCTAAACCCAACCAACCTGAAACAAACTTGCCCAACACATCCTATAATTCCAAATGAGAAAATAAAGGACACAACAACCATTATACAATGACAGAATCTACGGAACCTAAGTCCGGATACAATAATCAAATGGAAAAAGACCGGGGTCGCTATAACCTCCCCCCCTTCAAAGAATTTCGTCCCCGAAATTAAGCATAAGTTTTTGAAAACAAATTGTTGTTTTTTTTTTTTTCTTTTTTTTTTCAATCCATTAGTAAACATCTTGACCCAAAACTGGTTATTTCATCCCCTTATCAAGAGGCATCTCATATTAAATATATAACACAACATATATCTCAACCTGTATCATTATTATCCATTATTCCTTTCAATGTTAACAATTCCATATCATATTCAATCACATGATATATACAACCAATTCAACAATGTACTCAACAGATGCAATATTACACTAAACTTCTATAATGAAGCAAATTTCAAGATACACCCATGTACCAATACAAACTCAATATTTCACAACTTAAGACATATGTAAAGCTCTTAAGTTCTACAATATTACAAAAAATGTCATTGTTGTATAACGTGAGGGAATATGTATATTTAATTATTCATCATTTCATCCAAGGATGAAATATTATTTGTAAATGGACTTAATTAATAAATATTGGTAATGTTATCTGCGTGATAAAATACGGGGCATTACATTAAGTTCCCTTCTTATTGTAAAATAGTTCCTTGTATGAACCTATTTTTATTTTTTTTTTACTTCAATGTAACTTCCTTTTTAACTCAACAAA